TTGGCTGTGCGGGAAACGCCGGGTTCTAGACATAGGCGCCAAGGGTTTGAACGCCATTCTGCATGCTAATGGTATTTCGCCCTGAGGAAGGTTGCAGAATAACGACCGAAACGTTGGCACCTGTGCCTAGGACGCGGTATTTCTCTCAGGCAGCCAAGCAGCTACTGACTCCGGCCACAGAAGCCTACGCTCTCCTTCAAAAATACATTGTGCAGACCGTCCAACATACAATTACTATTTTTCTCAGTGTTTGGGAGCATTTCACAGTTTTAGTAATTGGTAAAAAATATCTTATCTAATTATGGTAGTCCGGCAGGAGTTTCGACACTAACGTCTCAGCTAGGTCGGGTTCAGTCGCTGTCTGAAGCAGATTTCAAGCCGCCGGCTTCTCTGATCGGAAATTTTCCGGGGTTTCTCCGATCAACACCAGGAGAATGCCGGAGCAGTATCCTAACAAACGGGCCACGGGCCACGCGCGATCTTTCCTACCTCTTCCCTTTCCTATACTACCTCTTACACCATTACTTACACTAACATGTACGACACTACCACAAATGATGGGAGACCCGACAGGAGCTAAGAACTTGTCCCTGCCGGGGCGGTGCCCCGCTGGTGGGAGATACCTGATTGGGGGAAAACCTCGCTAACCGATGGTAGGTCGGCGTCGGATCTCGCCGTACAGTGATCACCGACACCTCCCGAGCAAAAACATGCGGGAGGTCACTTACGGCACTAATGACCCTGGTAGTTGGCGTACCCGGAAACATAAAAAAACAAGCAATCTAATTATGGTGGGGGCGGCGCGGTGCGGTCCCGCTTTCCGCGCACACGTGGGGCGGTATCGCGCGCATCACCGTGGCACGGCGCAGCGTGGCGGGGCGCTGCGCGGTGGCCGCACCTCGCAACGGCGGCGGTGGCGGCGGCAGCGGAGAAAACCGCACGTGTGCGGGTGGGCGCGCCGCCGCCGCCGCTTATCACGTGACGTCACCTCGCACACGTGACCGCGGCGGCGGCTTCAAAACAACGGCCCGGCCTGCGTGGGTGAACTGCGCCGCAGCTTCTCCTGCTTCGAGTATTTTGCTGTCTAATCTGCGCGCAAAGCCGACCTTCAGGGTATTTTTTTTAAGTGCTTCTGCTAGGGACACGTGTTCTAGTGCAGAAATGCTCTTGGAGGTTTAGGAGGCCTTTTTTGATCGTAATTGTTTTTTTACCTGTTTGCGTGTCATTTACGTTGTGTGGCGGTAGTATTGTAATGCTAGGGCAAAAACGGCGATTTTTCGAAATAAAAGCGGTTGTGTGTCCTTTATTCCAAAATTTGAATAAATTTTGTTCCTCCATGGTAAATAACTCACATAACTCACTTAAATACGTTGTATAGTCAGAATCCAAGTTTTATGGGCTGTGGATACATAAAAAAAAGTTTACGGCAAAACGTCTCTCTATCCGCCCGTTAAATTCAAATTATCTGTATTAATTTTGAACCTCACAATTGATCATGAATAAAAAACTCAAGTGGTTTACATGCCGTTCTTATCTGAAAAGTCCAGAACAAAAGTATTATATTTTTTATTTGTAGATAATTTGTAGTTTGTTGAACATTAAGTAACACTTCTTCTCTGACCGTCCCATAATTCAATACACAAACTTAACTAGCTTGTTACTTACTTTCAATATGTAAAACATATACTAAAAGAAAATGCACATCAATGAAAACATCCCCTGGTCATTTAAGAGCTATTCTTCCTTACTACTATTTGTAATATCGGGCCGCATTCATAGTGAACACATACGGAACAACGGAATCCTGAAGCAACGTGTGTTTGCTTAAAATAAGTGGCCACTTATAGCCGCCCGTATTGTTTTCATAAGACGTTCATCCTGATCGCGCAATGAGTGCTTCTTGAAGTGATTGGAACATGGCAACGTGCCATTCGCACCAGCTGTTTCGTGTCGGGTGGCCGCGTCGGATTGTTCACACTCAATACGTTTCCTTCAGAGGACCTCCAGCTTGACTTGTGCACTTTTGAGATCGATCCTAAATGTCTATCTTCAAAGAATTATTCATGTTTATTATGTAAGTTTTCGCAGTACAAATATTACGTTTTGTTTAGAATTCAAAATTCTCGGTGACATCATTGCTTGCTCAATCCCCATGGTGTAAGTGAGCACCGGGCGTAGAAGAGGACACCGAATAAACTCTTAAGCGAGCGGTTGACTCTTTGCCACTCATTTGAGCGGTTGACTCTTTGCCACTCATTTGAGAATAACGGATGATTGAGGATAAGGATCTATCACTTAAGCAACATTCGTATTAAGTGTCCTGTAGAAATTCTTCACTTAGACCACTTAAGTCTCAGGTCAGCCAGCTACTAAGTACTCAAATTTCCTGATGTAAGTATAAATACAGAGTTGAATGAAACATTAGCATATTTTCATCTATTAGAGTAGTATGGAAGGTAATATTAGCTTGGACTGTAATCTAAAAACTAAACATTTTAAAATCAGTACAGATAGGCAGTTTTTGTGTAAGAACATTTGCGTGGAATTGTGTTTTTCACTGAAGAGCAGTTGATATATGTCTCTCACTCTTATTATACCTCCCTTTTGTTCTCTGTTGACATTTCAAGTTTAATTATTGTAATCATAAAATAAATTGTAAAAATTAACTCTTTAACGATCCTTTGTTTGAACTGTGACAGTCGCTTGTGGAATTACCAGAAAACTTTCAATAAATTATTTGGAATTTATCTGGAAGAGTAGAAACATCGCCAAACAATTTTTTTTGACGTTCACCCGATTGAAACATATCAAGATCTTCGGAATTACAAAGCAACATAATGCCATTCATTAATAAAAATACAAATCACCAGACATTTTGTGAGGAATAAATAAATTAATAAATGTATGAAAATGATTTTTAAACCGGTATTCCAGTTTTTCGGGAAATGCTTTTGATGCTTGAAAATAGCAAGACACCCGTGGAAAGTGGCAAATGTCGATAACCTCACAAGACCGCACATGTATTATTTGACATGTCCGCTTGGGATAAAAGCAACTAATATGCTATCAAAACAATATCTTATTACTTCTTTTATTTTCGAATTATCATCTTTTATATAATAAAATATTACTTTTATCACAGTGTAATCACTAAAGAGGACAAAAAGTATATGTTGGTTTTGAGACATACCAGGATATCTCAAGGGAAATATTGATTAGAATTATAAGGAATAGTGACTCATTTCGAAGTATTGGTACTCGCGAACGAAGCTAAAAGAATAGTATGTCACATTTACAAAGAGGACATTGAGAAGCCATATTAGATATTGAAATATTAGATGCAAATATTGGAATGTAAAAAGTAAGACTTAGAAATGTTCGAGGACAAAATAAACAATAAATAGAGGGCATTGGAGATTCCGAGGGCAAAATAAACATAGCTGTGATTTGGGATGTGTACATTTATAGAATATACATTTTTATTTTGGAAGCGTCACTTAATAAAATATTTAAGGAAGATACGAAGACAGCCAAGGGTGATAGGTTTTAGTAAATACATAAGCGTCGATTCAAGACAGATGATGCCAGGAAACAAGTTACAGTGAAGAGCAAAATTCCTAACAAATATTTGGTAAACAAATGGAAACGAAGATGTCATGTTGCATCAGAGCCATGATTTTGTCAGAAGACATTTGGTCGCCGTTGCGAGCACATCACAAGATCGTTAGTGACCATCGCGAGCACATGTTACTGGTCATTTTAATAGTTCGTCAGATAGAACGTTTAGTTGTTGTGAACGAAAGCAGTCTCGAGTAGCGACGTGCACCTGAGGTATTCGAGAGTAACTATTTATGTGAACAGTGTAAATTGTTTAATATTAGTATATTTAGGGCATTAACTGGAACATAACTCCGACATCAAGAAGGATAATCATAAAATAACTGGTCGACGGGATTCTTCGGGTAGACTCTTAATTTCAGCAGCGCTGAGTGGAGGACATCAGGACATCAATTTCATAAACTTTAAGCGCTACGAAAAACATCTTGCAAGATAGCTAAATAATTCTTTGCAAATAAATTTTTAAACATTTTTTGTTATTAAAGTAAAGGTCTTTAATTAGCAAAACTCATATTCAATTTGATGGCATGCCGAATAATTTATAAAGTAAAATATTGTAAATAATACATACAATTGCGGCAATAAATCATGTAATTGTGTTATCGAAAGAGGAAAGCTGATTTTTATTAATAGACAGACTCCACAGAACAACCATTTTGTGTTCTTCTTAAAACAATAATTTTTCAGCATTTACCTAGTTCTTACTGGAAGGGACGTCGACCCTCGTAAGTAATATTTAATTGTAAGGAACATGGGAGTTGGGCATAAATATATACTAAGTTCAGAATTGCAAATATATTTCATATTAGTTTGCACAAAGTCGGGCATATTGTGTTAATAATTTTCAGAGATTTTACATTCGTTTCAAATTGGCTATGACCAGTGTGGAATAGATTATATTAAATAAATATTTATAGATATTTTAAAATTGTTTCACTTAGTCGTAAACATCCGTAAACCAATGAATAAATCCATCTTAATTAAATATATTTTAATAACCTCGTAAGTGCCATTGCGCAACTTGACAAGATGAGAAAGGACATCCCTTTACGCATAGGGTGAGGATTTGTTGATACACGTGTCCCAGACTATTCGAATAAGTATATTGGAAGAACCCATCATTCCGAGGAACTACTCTGTTAGAATTACGGACAGTGACTCTGCAGTCAGTGAAGAGTCAATACTGATAATTTTTTTGCCTCAAAATGTGACTGGCAAGGACATCCTACAGATAGCAATTTGCCACGCATTAATTTAGCAACGAACCGTAGCAATAGGAAAATCTCAAGGATGACGGAATCGGCAGTTAAACAATAAATCTCGAAAAAGATTTATATGAATATTTTAAGAAACGGCAGGTTGATATTTAATTATATCGTAAATTAAACTTGTTTAGTAAAGAAAATTGTAAATAAGCTGTTCAGTTGCAACAGTTCTTTCTTCCAATCATGCAATACCCAATCTCTAAGGAAAGAAGATTGCATCAGACTCAAAATAACGGCAATAAATATACTGTATCATAAAATAAATATGGGAAATAAAATTTAAAATTGTAAATATTGCCTTTAGTAATATTAAGAAGAATTTCCCCCTTCGTCTTTTCTCTCCAAACTTATTTTTATAAACACATTATCTGATAGCCTTGACAATAATTCTCGTGAAACATGCATGACTCTTGCAACGCCATATTCTTCCCACATTTGAAATAGTCGAAATAAGATCAATGTAGAGCAACAAACTAAAAAATATTAATAAAGTGCACATAATTATTATTAGATGGAGTGCTTTTTGATGAAGCGTTGAGTTCTTATTCGATGACAGTGTATTTTCAAAAATTTAATCGTGAGTGGAAACATGCTCTCCCGGTTACAGTTCATTAGAGAAACTTTATTTCCTTAAGACACGCGTCCTGAGTGACTTTGTCGGCAACTTTTGTTTATTTTCCAAACAATGAAGTTTTATAACATAAGCTCGGAGTGACTATAAAAAGAACTGAATTTCAATATATTCCGTAAATTTCTTACAAAATATATTATTGTTTTACTTTATTTGATATACTCATTACAACATTTTGACTATATCTTGGGTACATAAATCAAGGAATTAGTTTACTTTTCAAGAATGATATTGACATGGATTAGTCCTTTTCTTTGCTAGAGTAAATCCATCAACTGAAGAGTACAGACAATCTTTCATATCAGTGGAAGAAGAATTGTAGGTGATTTCCATTACGACAGCTATTTTACGGATTTCTGCTAAGCACTGAATTATATTTAAAGTCATGTTGTGTATATGTTTGTAATGGGTATGTATGATGTTTCCTTTCTGAAAATAATTAACATTACCTACATAAGTTCTTTTAAAAAATAATTTATAAAAAATTTAAATTGCTGAAAAATCATCGTCTCCCTCCATCGCGGTGATTTAATCATATGTAGCTATTTTAGCTTCTGCTTCTTTCGAAAGCGATCGTTGGTAGCCATCTAGTCACCACTCGCCACCAGATCGCTTCGTCCAAGACCACTGACGATGACCACCGCAGAGTGGATGCAATTCATTAACAATAGGCCACCGCCCGTTAAGTCAAATTGTGGTTTGTTGTTGTAACAAAGTTATTTTCTTCTTTGAAGCCTAATGTATGAGGATGAAAAAGGTATACTATTTTGACTCAAAAATAGTATGTATAGGTTGGTATCGCATTACGTTTACATTGAAAAAACGTTAAATAAAAAAAAAATTAAAACTTGAATGAGCATTTTACATTTCAAAGCATAATAATTTAAGCAAAATAGAATAAGCAACTGAGTAAGCTGACTTATGATGCATCAATTAGATCGCTTCACACAAGACCACAACACCCAACAATGTGCAGCGCCTCCTACCAGGAGGTTCTACGGTTCGAGTCCCGAAGGTCGCAAGATTTTCAACACCCGCTTCAAAGCTAGGTCGAGTTCAGCCGTTGTCTGGAGGATTCGTGTAGCGGTCGGCTGCTCTGATCGGTAGTTTTCCGTGGCTTCTCCGATCAACACCGGGCGAATGCCGGAGCAGTACCCTAACAAAATGGACCAAACGTGCTCTCTTTCCTTCCCATTCCTTGTTCTATCCTCACCCCTTGGTTACATACACTTACATGCACTACATTACCACATATGTCGAAAGCACATTACCACATATGTCGTGGAGATTGTCCCGGTTGGGGCGGTGTCCCGCTAATGGGAGATATCTGGTTGGAATAACTCCACGAGTCGACATGCAGGTCGGCGTTGGATATTGTCATTCAGGTGGGAAAGATCACCTTTCGCGATAAAAATCATGCACTATACTTTTGGAACTAATGACCTTAGCCCTTGACGCACCCAGAATCACTAATCAATCTATCAAGTCCAGTGCAGGTGTGGATGAATCTTCTAGAAATACCTTTTTCATAAGGCCTCGCCACGGTGTACGGAATACCACATATTGCCATCATGCGAAACTTTGATGATTCCCTGTTGACAGAAGAACACGATTTGAAGGTTATTAGGAGCGAAAATTTATTCATTACAGTTAACTATTTACTTTTTGCCTTTCATTTGCACATTTGCATGAGGTTATATGCTATCCAAATTAATTTTCTTCCATACAATTTCTCAAAATAGTCTTAATACGCCTCTTTCATATTCTTCAAGAATATATCTGCATTTAGAAGATTACGAAATAGAAACTCAACCCAATGTTACATCTTAACGTTTTAAAGTCGTTTTCCTTATCAACTGAATTTAAATATTGAGACATTTAAATATTATGTTTTCTATTGGTTAGAAGAAATGTAATAACTTTAAACACTTAAATATGTAAAGTAAACTTTCCTTGAACACTTATTACTATTTCACCTACTATCATTTAATGGCCCCCAAACACTTCTTGCCGTTAGATCATTGAAGTTAGTGGTTTGAGAGGGAGACCATTAGTAAATGAGTGATCGCCTAAAGGTATCATGGTTCGGGTTTCAAGTGAATAGTGAAAGAATAAGTGAATTGTGGTTTTGAATAGTATCCCCATTTTACAATGCCCGTCAGACTCTTCCTCTTCAAGCACGTCAGAATATTTTGGGGACTTTCTAGTAAGTAGGCATGAGATAATTGGAAGCTCCATTCTCTGTCAACGTTAACAACGTAATTACATGTCAACTGAGTCATAGTAATTACGTATCTTATCTCTAAAACTGTTCAGCAGTTTTGCTGAATCTTCGACAAGTTAGGTAAACTATAACTTTTGAAACTTGTTTATTATATGAAATTCAAGCTATAAGATGTGTAGTCACGCGAAGAAGAATCTCACACCTCATTCAGAGCTACTACTCATTTTGAATAAGATATCCGTGCCTACCCTCCTCCCCACACACATGCAACCATTTCACCGTGTCTATGGCCCTCAAACATAAGGGTGGAATTGCTGCATTCCAAATATGATATCATTGGAAAATTTCCATTTAAGTTTCCTTTATCAACGATTCGTTAAATATAGCTCTTCCAAGATTATTGAGGAGAGTCAATTCAGAAAATGTAAATTTTATCTGTGTTAATGATAACTTCACATTCAAAGACGGGGAAACATAGATAATGGGAAAACATTTTCGCTTACAAACAAATCACTGCCACACAACCAAAACTTCGCAATAACAATATCATAAATGTGTAATGTATTGATTCAATTAAGAGGAAGACAATGCCATTTGAGAAGCATACTTGATATGTAGACGCTCTCATATGCATTAAATGCAATCATCAGTAAAAACTGGCTTGATAGAATTGGTGGGACCTCTGGAAATGGATTTCAACAGGGAAGACAAATATTAAGACAAAATTAAAATAATAATCGTTATTATTGAATTTTTTGATTAAGTTGCTATAAAAGTTTTGGTTCTATTGTTCGGCCATCCTGATCCCCTACACCTCTTGGCACTTTCCTGACAAGACGCTCTTCCAAATTTCCTTTTAACGGTGTCCCTGTAGGCCATTTCACGTTTTTCCAGCTAGGTACCCTGAATAGTCGGTTCTGTGAAGAGTACAATTCCTGATACGAATAGATTAAAGTGATTATATACAGTTTATTAACCGACAGGAAGACTCGTACACAATGGCTAGATCATATGCTCTTCACCAACTGAGACCCGATCCACCTCGACATCATTCACGCTGTCATCTGCTTGAAGCAGTGAAAATGCAATAAAATAAATAAATTTAAGATATTTTAACATTTTCAGGTATTTCTACAATGTTATCGATTTATAAAAACGCAGGCTTCCGACGTCCGAGTGAAAATAATCTTAGCTGTCCTAGTGGCCTTACGTCCGAGGCAACGTTGCCAACATTTCGGTCGTCATACTGCTATCTTCCTCAGGGCAAAATACATTTCACCAAGGGCCAAGATACTATTCCTCAATTTATTTTCAGACGATGTTCCAACAATATATTGTGTCATAGGATGACAAGATAAAATAAGGGAGTGTTAAGATTAATTATATCAATCTTGAATTTCTAAGCATTGAAAATAATATTTTCGAAGAGACACCGAATATTAAAGAGTATTACATTATAAGAAGCTTATTTAGGCTCATTAAATTAATATATGAATCACTGTATTTTCTATTTGTTTTAAACTTCCCTAACGAAATAAAGGTTGGGATACTGTGGAGTTAGAGAAGTAGTGAAATTACGTTTACACAACCTCAGGAAAAAATTTCAAAGATTTTAATGAAACAGAAAAAACACGATTACAGAAGTTTCCCCGATCTCCTCTTGAAATTTGAAAACTTACTGGAAAAGATCCAGTGATAAGTTATGTAAATTTAATTTGATAACTTTGTCGACACGGGTTTTCAATGTATGACAACAAAGAATACGAACAACTTCCAAACAGCAGGTAAGAAGTAGCTCAACTTGCATTTCAAGTTCCTATTTCACCACTAAATTTTACGTGATTTCGTCGTTTATTTATTTATTACACAGATTCACTAAATTACTACAATATTAAACTTATTCATCGCTCCACCTGCCCCTTTTTCCTTTCTTTCATTTATGTTACGTTAATTTCTCTTATTTTAAAATTATAATTTACAAAACTTTCTATTACCCGCCTATTAGTTCATAACTGAAAGTTATATATTTTATATGATTTTAGCAGGTAACTGACTACGATGGCTAAGCCATCGAAAGCTACTTTTGCATTCGTAATAATGTTGCCCAAAACAATGCCACTAATTCTTTTATTTATAATATTACCAACAACAAATCTTCAATATTCGGCAAGAAAAATTTAAAGCTTTTAAAACCAAACAGAAATATGTTTAATCCCAATAATTTTTTATCTCTGTTCCTACAAAATTATTTTCATTAATTGAAAATACATTACTCTGATAGGCGTCAGAAACCACACACATTAAATATTTGGGCTACTAAAAATCTTCAAGTTTTTATATTA